CTGAATTAGGCGAAAACGGGCGTCAGGGTGAAATTTTAATTTTAAGCTTGTTAAAATAAATATTTCAGCAACGGAATTTTTCAATTTATTCTTTATACATTCTCTTTTGAGCTGTTTCAGTTTATCAAACAAAACACCGAATTAAATTTTATTCTCAAAACGACGTACGATGCCGAAGGGCTATAGGAATTTTACAAAAGAATTTGCAGAACTTGGTCGGCTTATAATATGTGCCTTTTCGGGGTATTAGAATAAGTTAGTGTAAGAGAATGATTAAATTGTGCAGTTGCAATTTATCTTACATCGTTAAGGTTAAAGACCAACCTCTCTTTATTCTCTTCCACGAATAAAACCAGGCAGATTGTACTCAATCCATTTTAAGACGAATTATTTATACTCACATACTATACATTTTACAAAACATTCTTCCAATTACCACCTCGTAAGCTGTACACGTGGAAATACCCTCAAGACATAAACAAGAAATATTAAAAATCAAATAGACTACATTTTAGTAAATAAAAGATTCCGAAACAGCTTTACATCTGTTAAGACTTATCCTGGAGCAGACCACGTTCCATTTGTGAGAGTATTTCGAGTCAAACTCAAAACAGTGCAGAAAAGGAAAGCATAATTATACGAACTACGTATGCTGAAACACATTGATCCGAGGATGAGAGTCTAATGCCTGGTTGCACCAACATATCTTAAGCTTAAGACGTGCCTTAGGTAGGCTTCAGCTCAGACTGATCGACCGACCACGACCAAACCGTCCGATGGCGATCAACCAAATTTTGTATTTTTATTTTTAAGAATATAAAGAATATTTTAGAATCGAAAATTATGGCGCAACGTAAGTGAGAGTTAAGGCAGCTCTAGCTATAAGCAGAGCTTGGCTAAGCTGGAGCTTAAGATCTATTGGTGCAACCAGGCATAAGACACGTTAAACAAGCAAGTGACTGCAATTAGAGGCGAATCGAACGAAGAACAAACGATCAAACATAATACAGAAATAGTGCAAAATTTAAGTGATAAACACTTAAAGACAGATAGATTAATGAAGAAAAATTCATGGATGACAGATGAGATCCTGAAACTACTGGACGAGAAAAGAGAAGCCAACAATGACACTGACAAATATAAAATCATGAATATATTAATAAGAATAAAAATCAGAGAAGCGAAAGAAAAAAAGCAAGGGAAAGATGCGAAAAAATTGAGAACAAATGCAGTCAAAGTACGATAGTCACAATAAACATAGAAAAGTTAAAGAAGTCACAGGGGGAATAAGATGAAGGCAGAAAGGAAATATAACTGATTCTGACGGAAACATCATCTTGGACAAACAGAGTAAAATAAGAACGTGGAAAGAATATCTAGAAAAACTTTGAAGACCAAAGAGATAACACTTTTGAGCTAGAAGAAGAGGTAAATGATGGACCAAGAATATTACAGCAGGAAGTTTATTCCGCAATAAAACAGTTAAAGGATGGCAAAGCGGCAGGCCCTGATAATATACAAGCAAAACCACTTAAACTAATGGACAACGAATCAATAGCAATAATCGCAAAGATATTCAACAACATATACAACTCTGGAGAAATACCAACAGAATGGCTGAAATCTGAGTTTATTGTACTTCCAAGAAAACCAGGAGCCAAAAAATGCGAAGATTACCGTACTATAAGCCTCATGGGTCATCTTCTAAAATTGTTCCTGAAGATAATTCATAAGAGAATCTACAAGTTCTGTGAAAGTCAACTTTCCCCTAACCAGTTCGGGTTCACAAATGCTGTTGGTGTTGGTACTAGAGAGGCTTTGTTCTCAGTACAAGTTTGATGTCTCGCAGAGATGCAGAGACATCAACTGCGATGCGCGTAGCTCTGTCCTTTTTTATGGTGTTGAATCGTGGACCTTGAACGAAAATATGTGCAAAAAACTGAAAGCATTGAGATGTGGCAAAATCGGAGAATACTTAAGATCCCGTGGACTGACCAAGTCGCCAATGAGGAGGTCCTCAGAAGAATGAATAAGAACCGAGAGCTACTGACCACCATTAAATCTCGAAAGCTCGAAATCTCGGACATATCATACGAAATGAATCCAGATATGCTCTTCTTTAAGCCATCCTGCAAGGAAAAATATTTGGAAAGCCAGATCCAGGAAAAAGAAGAACATCTAAGTTAAAGGACCTAAGATGGTTCTATACAATATCTGTGCAGCTTTTCCGCCCTGCTTCAGATAAGATAACGATTGCCATGATGATCATCAACATTGGTAACGGATAGGCACATCAAGAAGAAAAAGAAATGGAACAGGTGGCGCTATTCCTGTTTCTGGTTAGATACCGGTATGTATTTATACAAAATCATGGATAAATTTCTAACCGGACGTAAGCCAGCATTAGATACCAGTGAAGCATCAACAAGTGCACAGGTGAGAGTGGTTCCAATAAAATCAAGAAAATATTCTCAAGAATACTTAAATTTTAAGTTTACTTTTATTGAAGTAAATGAAGAAGAAAGGCCTCTATGTATTATTTGCTCAAAAATTTGTGCAGCCGACAGCATGAACTTAATAAGCTTAAAACGACATTTGGAAACTCCTCATAGTGAGCACAATAACAAACCCCGAGAATTCTTCGAGTTAAAACTAAAATCACATTTAAACCTCTATTAAATGATACTATTGCCCATCGAATTGGTGATATAGTTGAAGATGTAAATTATCAGCTACTCGGGAAGTTGCGCGACAAGCTGTTTTCGATTCAGCTTGATGAGGCAACATATAGTAATAAGGACGATCATTTTATTGCCTACGTTCAATTTTGTAAGGTCACGTCAGTGCAATATGCACCAATAATGCTCGTGCAATGTCCGGAAAATTTCAGTCTGCAAGAGCTAGTAAAACAAAAGTCTTTAATGTGTATGGACATACATTGGACGCACTGTATGATCCACAGAGAAGCTCTGGATTAAAAAGAAATATCTCCTGGCAATGAATATTGTACTAACTACGGTTGTAACAGTAATTACATAAAAAAATGAGACCTTCAAAAACTAAAATCATTTCTGCACTTTGTAAAGACATGTGTGCAGTACATTCAACATTATTATTTTATTGTGAGGCAAGATGGTTATCAGATGGTTATGAATTTTTACAACCTGTTTTAAATTATGACAGGAAATTGCCATTTTTCTAGAAGAATAAAATATACTGAGATGTTTCGCGATGGTTTATGTTTAATGAAATTGAGCTACATGGTTGACATATTCGAGAAACTAAATATTTTGAACATTCAGCTTCAAGGAGCCAATACACAATACACATATGTATTATATTATATTATATTGGATACGAGTGATAAGGATAATATGCTTTTTGTAGAAAATTGTAATTGTGGAGCAGAAATGTAAAGCAAAAAACCTAGAAATGTTTGCAAATGTGAATGAATATATTGAAACTTACAAGAACACGCGAAAGTTGTTTTTGTAACGATTGAAAAAACTCTAAAAGACATTTTTTTGCCGACGACCGACTAATACGTAGTTACGAGTGGGTTAGGAATCCATTTTAAATTACACCCAAAGGGCGTAATTCTACTGTCAAAGAATAAACCGTTATAGACTTAGACTAGAAAGCCCCACAGGTTGAGATTTACTGACGTGACTTCAATTTTCTAGTAACTTTTGTCCAGATATATTCGGGTATGTCTTTATATTCTACCACATTATTGTTTACTGTCCGCCATACTCCGCTATTCTGCCTTAATATTGAACTCCTCAAACTAAATACATAACTAAAGGGAATCGAACAATTAGTGAACAATGGGAAATTTGTAAAAATTATATTAAAAACGCAACAAATAACATTCTAGGGCCGCAAAGAGAACCACCACGCAATGAATGGTTCGATGCAGCAAAGAAGAACCCGAGAAAAAGAACGAAAATATAAAGATCTCAGAAGAGAAGAGAAGTACATCCATCGGAGAAAAAAGCGAACTTATAAAAATAAAATATTGGAAGAACTTGAGGCATTAGAAAAAGAAAATTAACCAAGAAAATTCTATAAAAATCTGAATAATACAAAAAAAAATTTAAACCAAGGATCGGACTATGTAAGGATAAGGAGGGGCATATACTCAATACAAAAGAAGAAGTATTGAAACGGTGGATGGAACACTATAAAGAACTACTTACTATCGAAGTAGAAGATCCAAATCAACCACCCCCAGGAGCAAGCAACAACACACCATTGGAGCCTCCATCAATTCAAGAAGTGCGGGATGCAATAAAACACCTAAAAAATAATAAATCTCCAGGAAGTGATGGTATACCCGCGGAACTTATTAAATGTGGATGTGCTACTCTGACTAACTATATATATATATATATATATATATATATATATATATATATATATATATATATATATATATATATATGAGGAACACATCCCGGAAGAGTGGTGTATTGGGATCGTTTGCCCGCTATACAAAAAGGGCAATCAATTGGAACGTAGAAACTATAGGGGAATAACCCTCCTTAATACAGCATACAAAATATTTTCGTGTATTTTATATAGTCGCTTGAGTGCATATTTAGAGAAGATTCTTGAACAGACCAGATCTTTGTGCTAAGGCAAATACTGGAAAAAACCAATGAATTCAATATCGACACATACCATCTTTTCGTAGATTTTAAATCAGCCTATGATAGTATCCTAAGAAATCAGTTGTATGAAGTAATGGATGAATTCCACATCCCCGATAAACTGATAAGATTGGTTAAGGCTACAATGCATAATGTTGTTTGAAAAGTCAAAATACAGGGCGAACAATCACAGGCATTTAAAGGGCATGTTGGGCTGCTACATTCTCGTCTCATCGTCTCATTTTCGGCGTGTCTTCTTTTCATCATAGCTCTGAAAAAGGCGGTCAGGGATGCCCAAATAGACAACAGAGGAAACATTTTTAATAAATCATCCCACATTTTGGTATATGCAGATGATATTGACCTAGTTGCCCGCAACACACGCAAACTAGAAGAAATGTATACCACCTTATCGAATGCCTCAAAAAATATGGGCCTGCAAGAAAATGAGAAGAAAACTAAGATAATGGCATCAACACCCAACAATAGAGCCCGAAACATCGGCCATCAATTCACTGTTGATAACTCTACCTTTAAAGTGGTGGACAAATTCACATACTTAGGCTCCCTGATCATCAAGGAGAACGTCATGACGGAAGAAATCAAGCAAAGAATAATCCTAGCAAACAAATGCTATTTTGGATTGAGTAGACACATGGGAAGAAAAACCAGTTATTTAGGGCATTTGTTGCGCAACGAGAAATACTACATCCCTCAGTTGATAATAAAAGGCAAAATAGAAGGAAAGCGAGGAATTGGAAGAAAAAAATTGCCCTGGTTACGTAATATCAGAAACTGGACAGGACTTGGATTTGAGGAACTCTTAAGAGCAGCTGAAGATAGGCAAACGTTTGCCACCATAACCGCTAACCTCCATTGATGGAAACGCCACTTGAAGAAGAAGAAGACACATGAGAAGCAGAAACTTAAGCCAAAAAACAAAAATAACCATATACAAAACCCTTATACAACCAGTGTTGATATATGGATCGGAGACATGGACCATCTCCAAAGCAGATGAAAACCTCCTGCTTATATTTGAACGAAGGAGCCTGAGAAGAATATTCGGTGGCATCTGTGAAAAAGGTATTTGGAGAAGGAGGTACAAGTACGAGATATATCACCGATATAAATATACATTTGGTGGTAAAGACGTAGTATCTCTTATAAAAATAGGAAGACTAAGATGGGCAGGACATCTGGCAAGATCACAGCAGAACAACCCACCTAGAAGAATCCTTATGTCACAACCTGTGGAAAGTAGAAGTAGGGGTAGGCCAAAACTCAGATGGAGGGATGGTGTAGATGAAGATGGTAAAAAAATAGGCGCAGCAAACTGGCAACAATTGGCAATGGATAGAACTGACTGGCATAATATACTTGGGAAGGTCGAGGCTCTTTTATAGGGCTGTATCACCAATGATGACGATACTCCGCTATTCAAGTCTTTCATAATTTCCAATTCTCTTGCATTTCCAATTCTTGTAATTTCGTCATTAACTTTTTCAACGAACTCATCTTTTTTTATTTATCGTTTATCTTTACTAATTGCATAAATGCCAAGTATCGTATGGTGTAACATATAGGATCTGACTTATTAATTTTCTACCCAATTCCGATACAGCGTTCGAGCTTCTCAAGTTATCTGACACTTAGTCAATTTTTCCAAAACGATTGGCGCAATAATCTAACAATTGTGAAGATTAGCGTTAAGATATGTCTTTTTAGCCGAAGTGAAGCTCTATTTTTGGAACACGTCATCGAATATCGAATTTCTTTCCATTTCTCTCTTTTTTGATGGAATTCTCCGACTTATTGAAGTGGAGATTTCACATTTAATTCAAAAGAGAGAATCGAATCCGAAATTGAATTTCCTGGTTAGTCTACGCGGGAAAGTATTTTTCCATTTTCGGATGGCCCTTTGGGAAGTTAGATTAAAAAATAACATTGCAGCAATGGATAGCGGCATATCCTAATTTTTATTACACCACAGGGAATATATCAGTGGATCAGTATTAGCAAAATATTATGTGTTCGGCATTTAATATACGCTATTGTCTATGTGATCCGTTCTGTGCGCTAAATTTCCTAGTATAAGAGCTATAACATACCACAACTTTATTAAGTTACTAAATAATTCCATCAAGTATATATAAAGCACGTATATCAATTTTTATAAAGCAGACATAATGGCTAGTACAAGTCATAAAAGTATAAAAGTATGTTTAGAATGTATATAGAATTTTTCTCGGTTGTTTTATTACGTTTAATGTATCTCTGTGGAATTTAATCAAAATGTGACATAATTATCTTTGTTTGACTATTTTGTCTGTTATATAAGTCATCGGAAAAGACCATATTTACAGTAGGTTGTAGAATTTACTTCTTCTTCTTCAGATGCAAATCCACTAACGGATGTTAGCGATCACATTTTCCATCAATTCTCTATTTTTTGCAATATGTATCAGAGATTGCATGTCGTTAATCCCTGTTCATTGCCTTATGTTTCGGAGCCAGGACATTTTCTTGCTTCCCATTCCTCTCTTGCCTTCAATTTTACCCTCGATTATAAGTTGGAGGAACTGGTATTTTTCATTTCGCATGATGTGACCTAGATACGCCCGTTTTCCTTTTCTTGATGGTTTCGAAAAGTTAGCGTTCTTGGTTTATTCTTTTAAGGACATCTATATTTGTGATTTTCGCTGTCCATGGTATTTTTAGGATACGGCGATAAAGCCACATTTCGAAAGCTTCTAATCTGTATGTATCCCTCGTTTTGAGTGTCCAGCCCTCTACACCATATAGCAGCACTGACCATACGGAGCACTTAGTAAATCTTAGTCTCAGTTGAAGATCAAACTCTGAACAAGTCAGTACCTTCTTGAATTTTACGAAAGCTTGTCGAGCTTGCTCAATGCGACATTTTACTTCCCTGTCCGATGCCCAGTCTTCAAAAAGCCACGATCCCAAGTATTTAAATTTACTCACTCTTTCAATGGACTTAGTATTCAGTGTTATGGTGGAGTTTTCAAGTGTCCAAGTTCCTGGAGATGATTATGAATTTGGTCTTTTTGGTATTAATCTCTAATCCCATTCGCTTACTGTATTCTCCGATTATAGTGACAAGTTGTTGAAGATCGACTATGTTGTCACAAATTAAGACACCATCATCAGCATATCGTATGTTGTTGATCAATACTCCATTCACCTTGATTCCCATCTCTGCATCCTCCAAAGACTTTTGACATATGGATGGGCCGAATAAATGTTAAATAAAAGAGGGGAAAGTACATATCCCTGTCAAACGCCTCTTCTGATATGTATGGGTCCTGGATATAGAATTGTCTATTTTTAACTGTGCCGTTTGATGCCAGTACAAGTTTTCAATGCATCTTATGTCTTTATGGTCTATATCAACTTTCTTGAGAATCTGCATTAACTTGTGGTATTGGAAACGATCAAACGCTTTTTGGTATTTTAAAAAGCATAGGAGCACATCCTTCCTCTGATCGTAACAATTTTGGACGAGCACCTGTGTTGCTACTATTGCTTCTCGTGTTCATAAACCTTGCCTAAACCCGAACTGAGAATCACTGATGTCCCATTCACATTTTTTGTATAATCTTTGATGTAGTATTTTTAAGAATATCTTTAAAGTGTGACTCATCAGGCTAATGAGTCTGTGATCCTCACATCTTTTTGCATTGACTTTCTTGGACAGGGGAATAAAGGTAGAGCGTAACCACTGTTGAGGATAGCAGCCAGTTTCATAAATTATATTAAATATTTTGTGTAGTGCTGAAATCATCTGGTCGTCTGTATAAACTTCACTCATGGGTCTTTCGTCATGGAAGAGCTCCTGGATATAATTTTCCCATATATCAATTTTCTCCTTTTCACCCAGCACTATCTGGTTATCCTGATTAACTATGGTAGTTGGTCTTCGTTTTCTGTATATTCCAGCAGTCTCCTTAAGCTTTTTATGTAAATTACGGTCGTCGTAGAATTTACGTTTAAGTACAAATTGCTGTCAAATGTTGTTACAAATCTTAATTTTCTTTTATTTTACAAGAACTAACGTAGTACATAAACATAACGCCAGTCCTTAGGACTATCTCTTCTTCTTTGTCAAACATTTTCCATCCACTCCTGAATGTAGGTCTCTCCCAATTGTTGGAATTTTACCACATTAAAGAAGTTTCTTCGCTGGTTTGGAGTCTAGGAATAATTTAGGCAACTTTTTCCCAAAAAAAAACCTTTATTTCCATAAACACAATGTCACTAAACTTCTGGATTCCTACAAGGAAGAGCCACTAATGTTTTTACAACTTAATTTTAATAATTACAATTTTATATGAATGACCAGAAGTCAATTTTGTCAGACCGACATTTTTATTATAACGAATACCTTTTTTGACAACGCGCAAGCGTTGGAATTTTAAGACATAGAACATATTGTGTTACATAAAACATAAAATATATTAAACTATAGTGTTGGGAATTTATTTCGCCAACATGCTGGGGGGCCTTGGTTTTGATAACAAAACTAGATACTTATAAATACTAATAACTACAATACTAATGCTAGATACTAATTTAATGTTGAAATTTTAAATCCCCCTTTTTCCTTAAAAAAAAAAAATAATAAATTTATTCATCGTTAATGGGTAAAACAGCAATTTTAGTAACAGAGCGCAAGTATGTTCCATTTTTAGTTTTTACTTCCACCACTCTTACCTTTCCGTCTTTACCAGGAATAGTTTTTATAATTTTTGCTATAGGCCACCTAAAAGAAGCAACGTTGTCCTCCTTTACAAGTACAAGCATACCTTCTTGTAAATTTGGCAACGATGTTCTCCATTTAGGTCTGTTTTGAAGTTGCGTTAAATAATCTTGGTACCACTTTTGCCAAAAATGCTGCTGCATTTGAACACACAACCTCCAAAATTTTAATCTATTTTGAGGAATCTCTGTTAAATTGGTTTCAGGGAAACTTGTCAAAGAAGCACCTATTAGGAAGTGACCTGGTGTGAGATAATCTAGGTTAGTTGAATCATTATTAATAGGCATGAGAGGCCTTGAATTTAATATTCCCTCAACTTGAATAATCAAAGTATTAAACTCCTCATATGTTAAAATATTATTTCCCATCACTCTTTTGATATGATGTTTTGCACTTTTTACCCCAGCCTCCCATAGACCTCCAAATACTGGAGAATAACTTGGGATGAAGCAAAATTCAATTTTATCATCAAGGCAAAAATTTTTTAAATTGACATTGTCTTTTAGAAGTTTTTGTATTTGATTGTTTGCTCCCTTGAAGGTGGCACCATTGTCACAAAATATTTTGGATGGTTTACCCCTTCTGGAAATGAACCTTTTTAATGAAGCTAAAAAAGTATCTGTTGTTAGATCAGAGAGTAACTCCATATGAATTGCCTTCACAGAAAAGCAAACAAACAATGCTATATATGCCTTTGTCATTACAGACTTTCTAATACGTGACTGTTTAATTTGGAATGGACCACAGAAGTCTATACCAACATTCTGAAAAACTCTCGCTGAACGCACCCTCTGCTCTGGGAGAGATCCCATTAGCTGTTCACTACACTTGGCCTTAAATTTGAAGCAGGTTACACATTTGTGCAAAATCTTTTTAATCTCTTTAGTAGCACTAACAATCCAAAAATTTTGATTTAATGAACTTAAAACTTGTTTTTGACCTGCATGTAACAGTCTCAAGTGCTCTCTGTGAATTAAAAGATCAGTGATATGATTGTTTTTGGGAAGTATTAAAGGATGTTTTTTATTAAACGAAATATTTGAGTTCTGGAGTCTACCACCAACTCTCAACAGTCCCTCAGAGTCCAAGAATGGACATAAAGAATTTAAATTAGACTTAACTGCTGTGTTGTTGGTAAGACATTTTATTTCATCAAAAAAATGAAAACTTTGTTCATGTTTAATAATGGTTTTAAGGCTATTATCCAGTTCTGAAACTGTCAAACTTCCAGTAAACCTTTTATTTTTATTTTTTGTATTATTTACAAATCGTAGGCAATAAGCTACTATTTTTGAAGTTTGGTTAAGCTAGAAAATTTTATGAAAAAAGATTCTGGTTTAACCTTAGCAAAATTGACAACCTTGCATTCAGGCAAATGATCTGGAATAGAAAATTGAATTTCAGCATGCAAAAATTTAATATTGAAAGAAATTTAGGACCATTAAACCAAAGGCTGTTAGAGTTAAGTTCATGAGGTTCAATACCCCGAGAAAGACAATCTGCTGGATTTTCCTTAGTGTTTATATACAACCATTTAAATTCAGATGTCATTTCTTGAATTTTAAGAATTCTATTAGCAACATAGGGATTCAATTTTAAAGGTTCCGACTTTATCCAAGCTAAGACAATGTTTGAATCTGAATATAGAAA